TAGGAGAAAACCCATGCAGTAGAAATGCTCTTTCACATACTAGCAAATGAGTAGCTTGTGTCAGATATATGGTTTTTCCTTCAGAGATGCCAGTCTTTGTCTTTCTTTGCTTTTACTGTGGCACCCTTAATACTTCTGTTCTACCGTCATATGCCTGGCACACTCATGTATACCTAGAGTTTCCTGGTCGTTTAAGTAATCTGTTTATCAGTTAGTTAGGTTTATTTCAGCAAGCCTTTGGCATTTGACTTGCTTATTAAGTTTGCATGCCATTATAGGCGATTATTTTTAAGATAGAAGAGTATGGCTGCCTTAGATTTTCCAGAAGTAGTGGTTCCTCTGAGCTTACTGGGGAACTTTCATTTTTTCACCTTTTTAGGTAAGCTCCCTCTCCCCCAGGAGCTTCTTCAGATCTAGTTCAGACTTAAGCAAAGAGGAAACTGCTGTTTGAAATGTCATCCATGGACTTTGAAGTGCGGATTTCTCATGTTTGTGTGCAATGACAAAGTGAGCAAGAAAGCTGCCTCTCTGTGTTTGCCTGCCAAACTATTCAAACTACATAGTTTACAGTCACAGATGCACTTTCTGTTCACTTTTCTAGGGACACAGTGCCCACTGAGTGCAGTCTGATTTTCCTGAAAACTGAAGGAAAGGATCATATTTTGCTTCTCATTCTGAATAGTGTATGAGTTTAAGGTTTCACAGGACAACTCGCTGGAGTTGTTTGGCTGGAGTTGTTCGAGTTTTTTTCTAGGTGGTTTTTTCAGTCAAATTTTATTTATTAATGGATTAAACAGTAATTTGTATGTAGCTTCAGGTGTCTCTCTCTCTCCTTCACTTCTGTTTCTGTAATCCAGCATCCTATTACATTTGCAACAAATCACAGTCTGTCTTCATTATAAGAGCATTCTGGAAGACTGACATCAATCAGCTTTACCCTGTAGTAAAAGGATTAGGTCTTTCTAATATGAACGGTATATTTTAAAAGGCCTGCAGCTTAGTGGGACAAAATGCTGTTAAACATGCAAATGCTGTCAATTTGATGGCATTATAGGAATTTTTAGGCAGTTGCTTAGTGCAGGATACCGTCCTTTTCTTCTCCACTCCTGTTATGTAAGGGAACTAACAATTTGCTGATTTGTTCATCAGATTTGTAGTTTGGTCTTTCACACCTCCAGGAAAATCAGAATGGTTTATATTACCATTATTTTCATTTTATTTTAGATTGACCAAATCCCTGTCTATGTACTTCTCAGACAAGTATATTTAAAACAGGGCACATATGAAGGACTTGTTAGTAAATTAACTGCAAATTGCTTGGCCTTGGCGGGAGCAAGTAAATTTGCAATTGCAGTCTGGAGCAACATGTTAGAGGCCACCTTCCTTAGATCAACTTGTGTATTGCAACACCCACAAGTAATCAAATTGTAATGTACTTTAATGCAAAGCCTAGGTTGGCTTGGTTGGCAAATTAAACTATCGCTTGCCTCTGGCAAAAGCAGGAAGCCTTTGAACTGTTTGACTGCAGCTGTAAGCTTGCACACCTTATTTTCCCTCTTAAAAATCAAATTAAACTGTAACCTGCAGCCTCTGCGGTATGTTTCAAGGAAAATTAAACTGTTGCTAACCTTTCTAGCAAAGATAACTGTCTCTAGTCAAGCTGGAAAGCCCAGGCCCAAATTCCCCTCTCCAAGTTTAGACAAATTCATCGGAACAAAACTCCAGGAGTAATTAAATACAAAGATATTACCTCTGACTCAGGAAGTCCTTGACCACAAACTGCTGTAGACTGGGAAAGTTTACCAGGAAGGTATTGCTTCCCCTGTTCTTTCACTCTTCCTATAATATTTACTGTGGGCTCCATCTGGGAGACAGGACATTGGACAGCTGTTCTGACTTTAGGTCTAATCCAAAATCAGAGCACTAAGAGGCACGCTGCCCTCACTTGTAGGCATTCGCCGTGGTGGTCTCAGCAACATGTTTTGTGGAAAACATTATTTGGGCTCATTCCCTCCTTTTGACTTGTCCTTGGCCCTTCCTCACCCTGCACCAGCAGCGGGTAGTGCCCCAGCTCCAGTCAGTGCCCCATTTGATTCTTAGACTTATTACCCTTGGACGTGATGTCCCTCAGCTCCTCTGCTTTTCATTTTCTTTGTCCAACTGGCAGGAACACTTGGCATTTGACTTGCCCTCGTAACATTTATGTTTTTCTTGGAGCTCTCAGAGACAGGATTTTTCCCAGCCTGGGTGAGCTGCTGTTATTTCTCTAAAGTCAGCAGTGCAATAGACTCGCTTGGGAGCCAAGACCTCATCTGTCTAGTGGCTCAGTCTTACAAAGACTCAATCCTGCATGCTTAACATTACCCTTTGACTTCAGGGATTAGCGTTTGGCTGATGGCAGGTGAGAAGGCAGAACAGTGCCGCACAAAAGGAAAGAAAGAAATTAAGTTTGCATTGCAACATGTACATACTCAAGGCCAACTAAAGGCAAACTTCACCTTAGAGAAACACGAATGGGGTACAGGACACTTTTGCCACTGGAAGCAGTAAGTAGACAGCATTGTGTCTGTCCTAGAAGTGAAAATGACAACAGAGAGGACTTTTCCTGTAATTTATTTAATATGTATATTATCAATGCTTAATATAGCTCTGAATATAGCAGTTCATGTCTCTGCACTACAGATTTCTCATTTTTAAAAGTTGGCTTAAAACTTCCCAGTCTCTCAGCAGACTTGAAAAAAACTTAGCTAGGGTATATTAGTCATTTTTTTATCAGGAGATGAAAGTGATAGAGATATAAAGTACTACCAGCTTTTAATTAAAATTGAATAAGTCAAAAACAGTTGGCAGTTGCAAAATTCATTATGATGTGTTACCAGAAATAGATACCTCCGTGAGAATGCGGTTTTAGTGCAATAGTGGGCACTAATTAGCTGTACACATCATTGCTGAGATAGACAGATACAAAATATATTACTAATACTCATAACAGATTTCCGTTGTGAGGCTGGGTGGAAAACTAGAGTCTCTAAGGCTCTTAAAATGTAGTATATCTCAAAGCACCAAAGTGTATGTATTCCGTTACTTCAGGCCACATTGGAATTTCAGCAACAGTAATTCAGTGTTTTCTTCGTGTGGTCTTAATTTGCAAGGAAAACCCAATTTTAGAAAAATGTAACCTGACTTAGCTGAAACAGGTATGACCTGGCATTTTTATTTCTTCTTCATGTAGAGTAGTTAGACTTACAAGTTAGATCCTCCAATTGGAATACGTTTCATTTGGTAAATAATCCCTTTGACCTTAAAAAAACCTCTCCTGATAGGAGTCTCTCGGAACAGATCTATAGTCTAGAACTGACCAGTTCAGGGAGTATGTCTGTCCGTTCCTCTGCTGTATTCTCTGCAAAATTTACAGTAATTGAAAAAGCTTTTTTCCTCTCTCCTTCTATAACCTAGAACATCAAGCAATAACCAAAAATCTGTGGGTGGTTTATCTGATTTATGCTAATTTGCTATTGACATGTTAGAGGTATCACTTACAACATGCTAATATTGCATATTTATTGTTAAAAATATTAGCTGGTTATGAAAGGGAAGTGTTTTAAATAATTATTCATTTGTGCTATGCTAACTCCATGAACCCAGGGCGCCACTCTGGTAGACTGTATACAAATTTATTGCAAAATAAGTCCAACCTGAAGCACTTAAAACAAACTTGCAGCAATAGCAAGATTTTAATTCATGAAAATTCATATATCCCACGTAAAAGGAATGGGTCTCCAGTTACCTAATTTCAGCTATCTAAACATTGGGCATCTGAATCACCTCCGCAGCCAGTAAAAGGGAGAAGTAGCCCCAGACTATGATTTATCCCACATAATTTAGAGACCTGAGACATTCGGGGGGAATCAAGCCTCGACACGCCAGTCTCAGCTAATATTTTCAGACTTGGATGCTTCAGTGTAGTCTCCTAAATTCTTACATTTTTGCCTAAGTACAAACATCGAGAAGTGATGAATGAAGTGGTGACTCCTTAGTGAAATCAGAGGGTCCTTAGTGAGGTAGACACTTTTACAAGAGAGGCCACTTACATGCCTAACTTGGAGCGCTTAGATTTAAAAGTAAAATCCCCGGCACAAACTGCACATTTTAAAACATCACCCAGCTTCCTTGGCATCTAATTATTACTCACATAAAAAATGATCCTCTGTAATCAATCACCTAGCTTAGATCTCATAAGCACTGCTACGTTCTGACTTCATTGCCTGACATGATTCCCTGGAGCACTGGAAGTATATGCCAGGTTCATGAGCTGGAACAAAGTACAGCATACAGAAATGTAAGTTTCCAGGTGTTTTCAAGAAGAGATATTAGAGCTGCAGTATGCCAAAAATTACAGATACATGCATTTAAGGTAAATCTCAGTCTCTTGCTCTTTGTTGGCATTACTCACTGAAAAAAAAAAAAAAATCAATATGCTATTTAAATAAAGCAGCCCATATGGAAGCTTGCACTTACCAGTCTTTGGGATATTCTTTAGCCTTGCTGTCTAAGTGGGACATTTCTGACTTTCAAGCACAAAGTGATCTTGAGGGCAGGACTGCCAAAACTGCAAAAGCTCCACCTCATCCTTTGTTAGATTTTGGGGACTCATCTGCGAGTTACTGGTTTTTGGTGAATTTGAATAAGGAAAACCAAAGGGGCTTTATATGTATGCTGGCCAGCTTGCTTTCTTTTCTTTCTCTCCTTTCTAGTATCGGCTAGTATTAGCCCCCCTTCCATCCCCCAAAAGTGATTGCCTTTTAAAAAACACAGTTTCAAACAGAAACTGTATTACAATATTTTTTGTGATATCTTCAGGGAGTGGTACAGAAATATGTTGTGGCATCTTAATATCACTACGAGATAATGTTTAGTAAATGCTGGATTTTATTTGCTTATTTAAGTATTGGCTATGTATATTACATATTGAATGAAAATTGTTTTACTTTCCATTACAGTTTGTCTTCAATCAAATAATAATGATAATGAAGGCATTGAACAAATCGATGAAGATATAGCTGTGACTCAGAGTCAGATGAACTTTATTTGTCCCATTACACAGGTATGCGATCACTGCCGCTATAATAGATTGGGAAATAGTTATTTCTTATTCTTCACTAGATTGTTTATTAGAAATCTGCAATACTTGTTAAAAATCAGGCAATATAAATGTAAATCATATTATCAGAGAGAAGCAATGTTGCTTGAAAAAAAATAACCCTGCAATGCAGTTTACCATGCCGGACCTGACCCCACAATTTGGATGGAACAGCATATATAAGTGCCAGTCAGTTTCATATAAAAATCTTGCATGAAGCATGTTCACGGGCATTTAAATCCCATTAAGTCTATTTAAATCCAACCTTATTGATTATAGATGGAAATGAAGAAGCCGGTTCGAAACAAAGTCTGTGGTCATACCTATGAAGAAGACGCCATTCTAAAAATTATCCAGGCTCGAAAGCAGCAAAAGAAAAAAGTCCGGTAAGCTAACAAGAATGTGTGGAAAAGCTATTTGCTTTGCTGCGTACGTGGAATTTTATTCCACTTGTTCTAGGAAATGTATTTGGATTGGCAAGGCTACAGGAAGTAATACTTCAGTGTCTGCCCAAGTCACAGGCTTCCTATTAGTACTGTACGCATGAAGAATCTTTTTCTTTTTTTTTTTTTTTGAAAACAATGTGTAAGGATATATTCAGGAAGTGTGTGGGGAAGTCTGCACAACAGAATCAAAGGGATTTTACTTAGAAACAGGGAGAAACTTTAGTTTTGTAAATTTAGTTGGTCATTTTGTTCCTACTGCATATTTAGCAAGCCTGAAAGTTAATGAAAAAAACCCATCTCTCTCCTACGTGCAACCTCTTTTGTCATTATATTTCGATACAATTGGAAATGAAAAATATTAAAAACAATTATAATTTTTAAGTAGAGTTTAAGAACGATCAGACAGGATTGTGTAGTTTCAATTACAATGCAGTGAAATAATTCTTACTTTATAGCATGAAAGCAGCCTGCCACTTTCTACCTAGGACATATTTAGTTGATTGAAAACATGTAAAATGTTCAATTATTACACCCGACATTCTCCTCGAAAAGTTTCAAATTTGGGATGGTTTTGATTTTCCCCCCAAAAAATTAAAAAAAAAAGAAGAAAAGGGGCTTAAACATTTCTTAGAGCAAGAACTAGAGGAAGTATTTTTTCATAACTCTTGTTATTAATTTCACATTTGTTTTTTACACCAACTATACACGATCTTCATGTTTTGGATTGATGACTTTTAAGTTTCGAATGAAACTTAAAAGTCACGGACTTTTTAATAAACGTGCAGTTTTCATATGCTCAGGAAGGTCAGTTAGAGACCAGAAACATGATTTCCTCAAAGATTAAGTCACAGTCAGCTTACTTCCTCCATCCGTAGCTCTTGCGTTTTATTAGACTATACACGCTGTGCCACAGAGGTACAAGGGTGGAGCAGGACTTTTTATTCCAAACCTCTTCCTGGCTACAGAAAAGCACTGCTATTAAATCAAGAATCAACTGGGTTGGCTCTCAGTAGCTCTCCGTAGTCTAACCTCTACCTTAGCGTCCAGACAGCTTGAAGAAGATAGAAGCAACTTGCCTATGTTCAGGTTAGGGAGGGTTAGTGTACTGGGTGCACTATAGTGGAAATGACAACAAACCTAGCAACATGGAGGGACAGAAACTTGGCTGGAAAAATGAAATGGAGTTGGGAAATAGGTCAAAAGTTGGAAAGAAGAAAATGAGAGTACTGTAGAAGATGGACAAGCTAGGGAGCAGGTGCATAACAGCCTAAAACCATTACACAAAATACCTTTTGGAATCAGGAACTGAATTTAGGATGCCCATATCTAAATTTTTCTCTGTGTTGTTAAATCCATTGGGAAGATGTCATGACAGTAGATGTTGTTGTGGTGGATCAAAAGTTTCAACACTGCTGATAAACTTGTAGGATCAGGTTACTGAATTTTATTTCACCTTTTAAGAAATTAAAGAAATGACTTAGTGAAAACATAAGAGTAGAAAGTCACGAAAAATGTATAAAATCCATCTTCAGAAGCTACAGTATACTCAGACTGAAGTTATTTGTGCAGTCGGAATCCTTGCAGTTCTTTATTTTGAGCTTTTAGCTTGTAGCCTTACCATTTTACAGCTGTTTATTCCAGTATGGCCGAAAAGCAGAGGCACAGCAATAACTGGGCTTCTCTGTAGCTAAATTAAGGAGGACTGCTTGGTTTTCTCTGCAAAATCTCACTGACCTGCTGTGATTTTAACTTTTCTCATGACAATGCAGTCAGTCTTTGAAAAACTATCGTCTGTTGTGGTGAGGAGTGGATGCAATAAGTTCCTCAATTTGAGGATGCTTTTCTGGTTTTCCAGTGAAAGCAGGTAGCTTGAAAGAGCGGAATCCCGGTGAGGGGAAATTCCCCCTCTAACCTTACCCAGGATTCACTGCCCTTGCTCATGGAAGAGTTAGAGAAGTGGCTCTTTCCTCATACAAGGTTTCCTTTATATAGCTCTTGAAGCCACTAGATCTCTGTGGTGCGCGTGGCAGTCTTCTGGCTGAATATCCACTCTTCAGCTGACATAAGCACAGCCACTGGTTCTTGCACGGATAGACTTACTAATAGACTCCTTGAGGCAATTCTTGCTTATCTCAGTTTGGCCACTATTTTCCGCTGCCTAGAAGGCCATACGAATACTTTATGCTTACAGAAGAAGTTATACAGGAGGCTTTCTGAGCACTTGTTATTCATTAATCTTGTAAGTAATTATTGTCCTAATCCTGTGTTATTGTTCTAATAAGGTGATAGATGGAAAAATTGAGGCACAGAGCAATTAAGTGATTTACCATGACAAACACAACAAGCTGCGGGCAAATCTGGAATAAAAGCTATGGGTACCGCCTGTAAATTTAGTAGCTCAGACAAAAGTTACTCCTAACAGGGAAAAAAATCCAGAAAAATTGTGATTTCTGACTATGGGTACCAACCGTGCATGTTTGGGCCTCTGCCTAAGGAAAATGACCTCTGGTCCCCGAATATCTTTCACCCTACAAGTAATCTGTCTTTATCTGACTCTGTTAAGTAGTTGTAAGCCATTTCGTATTTGATCTTCATTTAAAGGCTGCTAATTTGACCCCGTCTCTCCTTTCAGCCCTTTCTCAGTTCATAAGAGAGCTGGCCAGTTTTCACTCCAACTAGATCTTCCACTGATTCACCAATCAGCCTTTGCAGGTCTCATTCTGTTTTATCTATTTCTCTATAAATCAGTTTCCCTATTTATCTATACTATATTTATCCACTGCCGATTAATAAAGTAAGAAGTAGTCGCTTGCAGTTTATAGAGCACTTCAGAGAGAGAGAGCAACGTAGAAAGCAACATAGAAAGATTGCCACACAACGTCAGCATTGCTGCTGCAGGCAGCCTGCGTACAGAAAGCAAGACAATAATCTACAGGCAAAAGGCTCCATTTCTCACTGTAAGCTGTTGAGCCCCACCTGTTTATCTAAACAGATTTATTTTTCCCCACAGAGAGCTGGTGGAGAGGAAAAGAGGTAACGAGGAAGTGATAGAGAGTGAATCTCAGATAAATACAATAAAACAGCAGATGTTATGTAAAAGCCTGTATCTGACAAATACAATTCTTCTGATTTACTGGAGTCTCTTTTTTCTTTTTAACAGCTGCCCTAAAATTGGCTGTAGCCATGCTGATGTAAAAAGATCAGATCTTCTGCCAGATGAAGCACTTAAAAGAGCGATTGACAGTCAGAATAAACAAAGCTGGTCAACACTGTAGAAGTCAGCTGGATACGCTGTTGCCACAAAGAAAATTTGTTATTAGAGGTCTTGTGAGATAAGCTGCTGATTGTAAGCAGGTTGTGTAACTGATTGTTATTTAAAGTGTTTTCATTTATAGGCAAAGTTGAAGGTCTCAGCTGTAACTGAAAGCATTTTTAAACTGCCAAATATGAAGAATTCCAGTTTAACTTGTTTTTTTTTTCCCTTCCTGAAACTCTAAAAGCTTGCATTTGACAAATAAAATGCGTTTTGCAGCATTTAACCTTCCTTGTCAGTGTGCTAATCTTTTCAGCATTTTGGAGATGCAAATTCTGCCAGCATTCAACAGTGAGTGCTTTGCTCAGGATTGCAAATACTTCTGTTGCTCCCTGTAACTGCTGGGTGTACTCAGAATAGGGCACCCTGACCAGGATTTTCACAAGTCATATACCCTGCTTGGGAGTGTTTCCGTGTTTTAAAACCAGCCTCAAGAAACTTTAACAGAGCTTGATCTGCAGTAAGTTCTAAGCACTTGTGTTTGGACATACAAAATTACCCCTCACCTTTAAGGATCTTGGCCTCGTTCTTATATTTAATGAATATTCTACCAAAAACTTATGCTCGGCTTTGGAGATGCAGAGCTTTTATTTCAGGCTTTTTGGGTTTGGAATTCCCAGGGAGGTTTACCTTAATCTTGTATGTTAGGATATGACCCTTATTTACAAATGTATTCAGTGAACTAATTTGTAGACAATACAAACCATATGCCTTGAATTGAGAGGCAGTTAATCACAAATTATATAAACTTCAGCTATCCATGCATTTGGGCTCAGATCCAAAGAAGAACTTAAACTTTGTGACCCTCAGCACTTATCACCTAAATTGATCTGAAGACAGATCAATTTAGCAGATAAGGCATATGAATCAGAAACAGCCATAGGTAAAAGAATCTGCCTTGATGATAAGGTGGCAATCATCTCTTGGCATACGTGAGAAGAGAAAGAATAGGTTTCTCTGGGTTTTGGGATCCCTAGAGGGTTAGATGGTATTTTCCTAGGTCATTTTTTCTGAAATTACAAACTGACAGTATAAAATGTAGCTTAGGTGCCCAAATGCTAAGCTTCTCACTCTGGCATACTATTTGCTAACAGCTTTCCTTTATTAGACTGTTATAACCCCAATTGCACTTGGAGTGCAAACTACTTCAAACTGAAACTGTTATTTTGTAACTGAAGAATATTAATCTGTAAATTGATTTCATAGCAGAAAATATGAACTGAATTATTATTTTTTGCATTGAGCTTTTGTATTCAAAACGCTTAATAGGAGTTAACTGGATGATTTTCATAGGAGTTAACTGGATGATGTTTATAACGTGGCCTAACCTAAAGGTCCATCTTTTAAAACTCAACAGTGATCAAGAGTGCTTCTGCCTGTGGAAGCCTAGAAGCCCAATCTGACATATTTGAAAAAGACGGCAGGGGTATTAAGCAGTATATATTTGTTTGTATGTTTATGTGTGAAAATCAGGCCCCTTTTAAGACATCTGAGATCTCAAACTGGTAACTTTTCAGAAGATGATTCACTGATTTTCAGGGACGTAACGCAGTTCAATACCAAATGGAAGAACTTCTTTAGGTATAATATTTGCCTAAAAACAATGGAGAATGTCCTAAACTGCTCTTAGGTTTTTCTTTCAAACACGTGGTTAATTTTACTCCAGCACCATTTGCAAGCAGAACACTCAGAAACAGAAACTGGTATGAAACCCTGGTTAAACAATCTTTGCAGTTTGTGAGATGCGCAGGTGTGCATTGATGTTGCTCTCATGGATCTAATTTCAGCCTTAGTGGTAATCAGGCTCCCAAGTTTTCCGATGCAAAGATGTATACAGTTCCCTTTGGGCACAGTGTTACACCTCAAATGTAATTCATGTAGGTGTCTTGAATGTGCCTCTGAATAACACATAAACATAATAAATGCAAAATTATGTCTAGATTAATTTGTAGCCACAGACTGGTGGCAGCAGGGTTTGGTTTGCTGTGTGTGGTGTTTGTACCAACATAGCCTTAGATAGCTACGTTCCTGATACCCTCATTACCCTCCTGTTCCCATGGGTAATGCTATAAGTGAGATTGCTGACTTAAGTTACATTTCTTTGCCATATGTTAAAGAGAGAGGGCTTGACCCGTAGCAGTGTTGATGGCCCTAGTGGAAGCTACAGACACTCAGTCTGCCTCTGCACTAACTAATCCACAGGTAATATGTGAGCTGGCCTGGTTAAGGTGATGCAGTTGGGAGAAATACCAAACAAATCTGAAGCAACACTTTAAAAGAGAAGAAAACCAACAGTCAAGCACTCATTTATTTCTTCTGTAAGTAAGCCTTTCTGTAAGTG